TGAATCCTGAATCCCAAACCCTAAACACCAAAATTCTCAGGAGATCTTTGCAGGTTTGTTTCGATACCTGTGCATGTGCTGTGACGTCAGGCATCAAAGGCTTGCGGTGTTTCAGGAGACTGCTGCAAGGGACTACCTTAGGCCCAAATAACCTACCCGACTTATAACAAAAAATCGTAGTAAGGAGCCCTAAAAACGGTCCAGGCACACGGTTTAGAGTTTGGGGCTTACGGCTGTCTGGGATGCCGTTCGATACCCTAATAGAGGGTTTACGGAGAAGCAGCTTACCTCCTGATACAGAAATACCCTCGCAAGACTTAAACCACGAAGTCGATATCGATGAACAGAAGACTTTCAGATTCAGCTTGCGATGTTTCGTTTTAGGGTTTAGGGTTTAGAGATGTTTAGGGGGTCTAGGGGTTTAGGGCAGAAAACACTCTCTCAAAGCCTGCATCTCGAAGCTGCAGAAACCGAAACTCTGACGCCCTCTGAGCCCTGAACACAGAAGGCCTGCAGGGTTTGGGGTTTAGGGTTGGGGGTATAAGCCCTGAAACGATGCCCTGGTGCAACATGTCCGGCCTTGCCTATGGCCGCGTAGTTCGGACTTGCCAGAGCCTCGACATGAAAACAAAGACTTTTGGCACAGTAACTACGACTACAAGAGACAAGGTTTAGGCAGGTTAGGCCGAGGGTTTACGATCAATTTATGACCTTTACAAAACTTATGGCGTTTCTCATGACCGTTGATGCTGCTATTACACGTAATGCTTGTTCTGCTGTTGCTCCTAGCAGTAATTCCACGAATTTTATCCATCCGCTCTCAAAGCATGACTTTGGCTTTGAAGGTGCTAAACCCTATACAGCCCCAAATACACCAGAAATCTACCTTGCCAACAGAGCACCTCTCAGGCCATGAATCCACAAGGTGCTCTACACTGTGCGGGGTGCACGACTGGCATTGGAGAGAATGCACACCGCAGAAAGGCGGGACCCTAAAGTGCGCGCGGGAATGCGCAAGCGCAAGCAGCAGTTGCGGGCAAAATGAGCGTGGTACTGCGGCAAGGACACGATTTCCGCTTGGGGACACGCACGGGACTGCGGCCAGAAGATGGATCAAGCAAACACGGAACCTGCGGCCGTGGCAGAAATGAGTTCCCTTTCGCCGAAAGCACGACAAGTATTAGGAGAATCCCCGTGCTTAGCATGGCCCCTCGCACGAGGAGGACACACAGAAAGAATGAAACGTGCGGCGAGGCAATGCAAGCGAGCTTGCGCGAAATCCCACGCCTAAGCCATGAACCTTGCAATCACTCGTGGACAGTAGGGCGTGGCAATCTATGCATCACTGGCAGGGGTCGCCGCCACCGGACTGTGCAAATAACGTGTGCACGCCATGCGGCACGATAACCAAATCCCTTTGCTCTGAATGCAGGAACCGCATTTTGCCACGAGTCAATCCTGAGGATGATGACGATAAGGATAACCGTGACACAACCATGAAGATGAAGAACTCTATGTTGATTAGGGTGGTGGTTTCGGTGATGGTGCCGCTGGTGCCAAGTTGATGATGGTAGTTGTCGCGGTGGTGATGCTGAATAGGATCAAAACCACGCCGCTGCTGCTGCTGCTGCTGCTGCTGCTGCTGCTGCTGCTGCTGCTGCTGCTGCTGCTGCTGCTGCCGCTACCACTACCACTACTCCTGC